ATTGAGAGCTAAGCATCGATAATTAAGGTCAAAAGTGGAAAACGAGGCGATAAGGAGAAGACAAATGTGAGAATAATAGCCTCTAGCCTGCACCACTCGCGTCTTATTTGGGCAAGTTAACGTCAAGAAGCACGCGATTGTTTATTCATTCGGCCATGCCCACAAAGATCAAAACGGCAAAAATGTTTTAGTTGGATCAGGTGGCCTTGTTGAATGTACCACTGCTAAAATCCAATTTATTTAATTAAAATATTCTAATGATTGTACTGACAATGATCTTGGCCTACATCCGGGGCATATCCTGGCATCAGTAAAAATTGATAAAAAGAAAGAAAATTCACCTGCAGGGCAGAATGACCTCCCTGGAACATGTCAACTTTGTGACGGGTTTGTTTACCTCCACCCCAGTAGAAAACCTGTACACAATAACCACAAACAACAAGAATATAAGACAGGTAAATAAGTTGCTTGACACTCATCCTAATCCTTACCCACACTATTGCATAAATGATACCCTTGCAGTATCCTAATTTATTATACAGCTGGCAGCGCCTGTGGGCAATATGAAGCGAATCCTGTGTTGTGATTGGCTACCCAAGCGAGCAGGCTTGCCCGCTTTGATTCCGCGCAAAGTATAAAAAAAAATTAAAAAAAAAAATTGGCATGGACTCATTTTGGTCCATTAAAAATGAAAAAAAAACCAAAAAAACAAAAACAAAAACAAAAAACAAAAAACGCCCAATATCAAGCCATCTTTACCTCATGCTTGGCGTTAACGGACACAGAGGGGATTTGACAACCCTAAAATTGTATTCACAAGAACTACAAATACCCAACTCGTAAATCTTAAAGCATCGAGGTGATCGTCCACTGTGCATGTAAGTGAGGTTCTGATGAAAATATCCCACGTCAGGGACTAATTGCTTCATCAAGTTTCTCACCTCACTGGTTTTGGCTGTAATCACAGGTACAACTTCAGTTGTTCCACTGACTAGCCTAAAAAAGGAAAAATAAAACACAAAACCCTTTCATTTTATTATTATTATTATCATTATTATTAATTTATTTCTTATACAGCACTATTTACAATAACATATCAATAGTGCTTTACAACTGATATCTCTAAATATTAAAATCTCATCTAATTAAAAAAAAAAATAATAATAATAATTACATATTACAGTTAAATCGGCTATATAGGATTCATAATTTAACTACTATTAAAAGGTTTGCTTAAAAAGAAAAGTCTTAATTGAATTCTCAGACTTGTGTATGATATTGGTGAGTCTTAGAGGTTACATCGAAAGTTGAGTGTCAAGTTTAAACAGCAGAGGTAAACAACTTGAAAAAAAAATGTTATGAATACACATACTTACCTGGCCCTCCTGGTTGAAGAATTTAGTTCCCAAACTTTTTTTTCCATCTCTCTTCGAGCATAAGGACAAGACGAAGAAGAAGAAAAAAAGGAAAAATATAGGTCGGATCACTTTTCCAGCAAATGACTTTTAAATGACCTCCCCCCCCCATCCCCTTCTCTCACCACACTTGTCCAACATTCTGTCTTGCTTTGATTGCACTCTACCTCAAAAACTTTTAAGGAAAATTTTGAGAAAAAAATTAACGCAATAAAATGTTGATTGAAATAAATTTTTGCTCTTATCTCCCTTAAGTCTTATTTCTTCATTGTTAATATTTTTGCTCTGGCTATCTTTCTGGATTTCATTCCCCACAACTTTTACGAAAGCATCATACATAACTATTTTAGTTATTGAATACAGTCCTCTTAGTGGTTAATTTCCATTTCTTATGCAAACGGATTTTTTGAGACCTTTATCAATATGAAATGATGAGGTATGCCTACCTTCCTAAATTACTCAACAAAGGCATAGCAAGAACTCCACTGATTGTTGGCCTGTCTTCCGGGCTCTAGAGTAAAAGTAATCGTTTCAGAAATACAGCAGAACCCCGCTAACTCAAACTCAGTTAGCTCGAAACACTCCACTAACTTGAACAAAATGTGATTTGCCCCATTTTTCCAGTCAACTCAGTTCAATCAATCTCTCTGATTACTTGAACTTAAGGCTCAAAGTCTCTTTGATTTGTTTAAGTTCCAGTTAATTCAGTTGAGGGTAAATTTGAACCTAGGTAAAGTAACAATTGAAAATAACTGACTGTGCAACAATGGTAGAAATTATTCCTCATTTATATCGATCAACAGAATAATTGAAATTCAACACCAATCCCCATTACTGGAACCCCTGTTAAGTTGAACCACTATTCATTTGCCATTGGAGTTTGAGTTAGCAAGGTTTAATTGTGGTCAGATTGCAAAGATGTAGAGCACTGGTGAATAGACTAGACTATGAAAAGTATTGAGCACGAAATGCTTTTACTGCTCACATGTGACAGCAGGACTTTAACTAGGCCATTCATGTCTTGAGTGTACTGTGGATCAATATCTTCATATTTCCCCTTCACTATTTCAGACACTAATCTAAGAGGATTCTAAGAGAGAAAAAGACTGATTTACAACAAACCACAAAGAATTAGTGATTTTGGTTTCTACTTCATAATTTCACTTTTGTAGCAGCTGTAGGCATGTTGGCTTAAAGTTACTTGTCAGCCACAATAATCTGAGAAAGAGCC